AACGTAGAAGTAGCTGACAAAATGAAACAAAAAGAATTTAAATAAAAAATGTCAAAAATAATAAATAATTAACAATTAAGACTAGAATCATCACAGGAAGGTACAAATATAATTATAGATTATTGATGATTGTTTATGTTCTCAGATCTATTACCACGGAGAACCCATCAGTGTCAACGTTCACGTCACCAACAACACAAACAAGACCGTGAAGAAGATGAAGATCTCAGGTACTCTCCCGCCTCAGTGTGTGTGTTGTGTAGTTGTGTGTATTAACGTCTGATGTGTGTTTCCACAGTGCGACAGTACGCAGACATCTGCCTCTTCAACACAGCTCAGTACAAATGTCCCGTGGCCACCGAAGAGTCAGAGTGAGTCTCGTTCTCCGTCAACGTTCTTTACAGAAACAAACACATGGTCCAACAGCTGCTCAGCAATCCTCAGCACGTGTGACCAGTTGTCATGGTAACGTTGATTGTTTGTCTCAGGATGTCTCCAGCGATAACGAGGGTTCTTTGTTTGTTTTCGGTCACCGTCACTGTTTCTCTCTCTCTCTGGTGTCTCTGTCTCTTTAGTGTTAAATTTACTGAATCAAATCACGAACTAGAATCACTTCCTGTGGTTTCACTCATTTCCTGTCCAGACTCATATCAGGTCACTTTGACCTTCGACCCCTGAACCCAGTTCCTCTGTGAGTGAAATTCTTACAAAGCGTTCTTCATGTTCACAAGATGAGCAGACGGACGACAATGCGTAAAGACTTGATGCCTCTGGCCACTAGGTGTCACTGCCACGGAGAACAACCAGAAACACCCTGATAACGAAATGTCTCGTTGTTCTGTCCCGCTCGTCAGTGACGTCGTCGCTCCCAGTTCAACCTTCTGTAAAGTCTTCACGCTCACGCCGTTTCTCGCCAACAACCGAGAGAAAAGAGGCCTCGCTCTGGACGGGAAGCTGAAGCACGAGGACACCAACCTGGCGTCCAGCACACTGTGAGTCCAGCTCCCCCGTGATGTCCTCACGGCCTGTGGGAGGGTTTTAAAGTCCTGATGTCACACAGCTCATAAAACCGAGCGCTGTGATTGGTCAAGCTGAACATGTTGTGTGTTGGGCAGGTTGAGAGACGGAGCCAATAAGGAGGTCCTCGGTATCATCGTCTCGTACAAAGTCAAGGTGAAGCTGGTGGTGTCTCGCGGAGGGTCAGTGACTGAACTCATCATTTCACTCAGGTCAGGAGTGGAAACTAAAAGTGAGAAGCTCAACGTGTGTCTCTGTGTTTCAGGCTCCTGGGAGACCTGGCAGCGAGGTAAGAGACTTACAGAGTCACCTGAACGCATCACTGAGACTTACAGAGTCACCTGAACGCCTCACTGAGACGTACAGAGTCACCTGAACGCCTC